GCATTCGTTAGTGAATGAATCTCTACTAGTTGATTTAGCCTTCCCGTTGAGCCCAAACAAGTTAGGATTTGAACTTGGTTCTACAAATTAAGAGTATCATGCACCAATCACTATGCTACCGTTGTTAATAACCTGCATTCAGTGATTCCTTGACAAAGTTGTCGATGTTAATGTAGGGCGCAATGACAAATGTATATGCCTTCCGCATAGGCAGTAACGACAGCAACGATATGCTCCAATTTGATGCGGCGTACGCTATAGTTGCGACGAGTTTATGCTGCCCTTAGTATTTGTCTCTATCATTAGGCATGTATCTGAACATCCGTTCGGTCGCTGACAAATACCTGATAGGGTTTTACTACAAACATTAAATTTATGTTATCGTATACGAAGAAACAACATATGTATGACGTGTGTATGATACCCCTGATGTACAGAAAACACTTAATCATTCTTTTTATTGAAATCTATCCTAATTGCAAGACGAATTGATTGCACCCAGGGCTAACGATGCATATATTCGTTCTATAGTATACATTACATTTTAGGAGAATTGTGAAATTAATAAAAAAAAAAGTAGTTATGCTGTCTGTGTACTTCCCTCTTTATCTACCTCAACTTGTTTTCCGTTAAGTTAGTAGGCTGTGATGACTAAATACATTGTCTTTATTTCATATTGAAATGACATTATCACTTTATTTGACCAAACTGATCTCCCGAATCAATCGTCCTTTCGTTTCTGCTCTTTTCCGTCAATGGTACTCCTAGCATTTACCTTAAAATCATTGTTTTGAATTTCAGATCTTTCTTGCACAACCAGACACATGACAACGCACATTATAACAACTCATGTCAACTCAGTGTGTTGCTTTTTCCAATAGAATATAATTTGGTTTTAGTTCTTTCAAGGCACCCGTGCTTCTTAGCAAGTGTACCTATATACAGTGATGTTTTTTTTCTGTGATTGAAATTGCCTTACCACTCTTAATACATTGAGTTGTGTAATATTGGCACAAATATGTGTCTACAGTAAAACATATGTGAAATTGCGGTCACGCTTTGTTAAAACTTGTCTTGGTTTCAAATGAACACTTTTCAAAACGCTCAACAATTTCGTTGTTATTATCCGTCATTAAACAAAATCATGAAATAATACACTTCAGGTAACTGGAAAATTTTGACTTTTACCTAGCTAGCACCTGGCATTTGAACCTTCGATCTTCAGTTTCAACGAGTCTGGTGACTCGATCAACAACGAGTGGTTCATTATAAGACATATGTGTATCCGGCAGTGATGGAGTTACGTACACTGGGGTGATGCAGTATCTATGCAATCATAAACAAACGCAATATATCATCGTTTTGATACCCATCCATCCATACCTGTTATTTCACAATATATGTAATCACTGTTGCACAAGGAATAACGAGGGCTATGTTTTCCGATGAGACGATCATACTATGATATGATGGATGTATTTTAAAATATATTTACGTTAATATGATAGCAGTGAAAATAATTGTAACGAATACATTCTTCCTGTGGAAGATGGAAAACACACTGTTAGGGCATGTCCATGACATGTTTGGAGATTGTATTTTATGTAAACATATGTGAAACATGTTTCAACATATGAGAAATATAAACATATTTCAGACACATTTAAAACATGAATATAATTAATGGTCACAATGAACAAAGACACTCTGACATCAGTATAAAGAGTCAGCATTTATTCCAAACAACATTTGAAAATAAATCATGTGACAAAACCTAATAAAATAACAAATGAAAATCATATTCATACATTGCAGATGGCATTTATAAGGCAGTAAACCTGATAATTGGAATATCATTGTTAACAGCACTCCAAAATGTGTTTGTATTGCATTCCTATGTTAAACAAGCACATGTTCATTAACAGAAAATTGCTTGACCCAAACTGTCCAATAAACACCTACAGCTTCTTAAATCAAGTTCCAGATGACTTCAGGCATTGGTGGCTGACAATTTGGTATGATGAAGGACAGTTTAGTGGCAGAATTTTACCAATTCGAACTCCACTGTGCTACCACGTAATATTTACCTAAAACTTCAGCATGACCGAATAAAAATCTCATAAAATCAGGTGAGATATTGTGATACTTTATACATTTATGAGTCTTTTTGGGGACACGTTTGAGACTAGTCGAGAAATGTTCATATCCAAATGTGCAGTTAACAGTAGATATTAATATCTATGTATTTATCCATTTTAATATGACTATATAATTTGAATCTATTTATATTATTTTATTCACATTTATTTAATTGGATGTGTGTTTTTCTATAAATTGTGAGTTTTGCTGATTTGTATACTTTTAATGAATATATGTGAATAGAAGGTGTTCATTATGACATTACACAAGGAATATCTACTGCATACTTGTTACAGTAGTATTCATCTGTGTTAAATATATAGATAGTAATAATAAATAGAATGATCGGTTAAGTGTAGAGTGATTGTTATGAGAAAAATATCAAATGCGTTTGCAAAATTATTTGCATTTGCACTGTTTAATTTGCAGCGCCATAAAATGACACGTCTTTTACTATTATTACACTGGCTTAGTCGAATAAGCTTCTCGGGGAAAGCTGAATACAAAATATGTAATCATATGCACGAGTTCACGTGTGTATATGCACACGGATTGTCAAGCATATCGGCGTTTATAAAGTTTATACGATAATCAGATATATTACCAGATAATGGACCATGAAACAGTCAATTCTGTGATTGATTTGCATGACTTGTAGAAGACAAAACATTTCAGATGGGAGGAAATTTTGGTCAGCGTCTAAAATGAGACAGAGGGTACGTTTTTGTAGTTTATGCATTTTAATAAGTTCAGTCTTGCTCGTATTGCCCCAAACCACGCAGCTTTACTGAATATTGTACTGAAACATACATTGACACAAAAGCACTCCTGCGGCACTTAAACAATGCCAAATTGTACGCAGAATTGCAACACGCCCGGCTAACCTTTTACTAGACTGGCGCAGTCGGGGCGATTAATTTGTTTTTGTAGTTTAAATAAAATAAAAAAAATCGTGAAATGGAGGTGTTAGCGCGATATCACCCCGACTGGTTTATTCTGCAGGAAATTCATTGCTAATAAATATTCATGATACACATATTATAATGAGGTGGGCGCGGAAATACGTGCATAATGAGGTCAACATGGTAAAGGT